GGAGGTGAGCTCAGCCGTGCTGCGCGCTCGCTGCGGGGGCGTCCGCTGCTGTAAAACCGACGCGATTCGGTCAGCACGAACGAGGGGCCCGTCCTTCTGCATCTTTTCCCGGTCAGTGCAGAGTGTTAACGGCAGCCCGCGTCTGGGCACGGCTCCAAAAGCAAAGCTAGGTCACGGTTAATGACACGGCAGAAGCCGGTTCCCTCTGCCTCCTTTTGTTACGCTACTCTCCGTGTTGTAGCTGTTGACTTTCTTGCTTCTAGCTCCTTACGCTGCGGCAGGGGCAGAAATATCTACCCACTAATTTGGCTGAAGTTCCCAGCATAATTATCTCTGTCATACAGTGCTGCTCTGATATTGTAAATATTTTTTTTTAATGGTTCTGACATTTAACATACTCAAAACTGAAAGCTGAATTTTGAATCCCCTGCAATTACTTGACTTGCAGCTGGGATATCCACTGCAAAGCTTACTATTTATGCCACCACAATTCATTCTCAAATAATTTCCCCCCATTTTCTCCCAGCAATAGCTCTGAGGTGTTTTCTGGTCTGCGCTGGGTTCACCTCTTGTGTCAGATCTGAAAAGGTAAATTAAACTCTGCCCCTAGAGCGATGGTGAGAGTATCAAACGGCTGCATCGCCTGGGTCTTCCACTTGACGGTGGCTTATTTTGCTCTTAAAAGAGCCAGGTGATTGGGACGAGCAGACTTACTCGGTGTTCTAAGACTTACTCGGTGTTTTATGCTTTTCACTAAGGGTCTCTGTGGTGGCAGCGATGGTCTCGGGCTGGCAGCTCCCATCCGTGCCCTGATCCCGCTCCCTGCCCTGCCCGGGGCCGCCCAGCTGGGCACCCGACGTCTCCGTCTGCACCAGAACTGCTCTTACGCCAAAAATCACAATTGTGGAAAAACCACAGTGAGTCTCTTGAAAACTTTAAGCAAGAAGGAAATAATTTCCCTGTTCCTATCGGTTCACGTCATCTTTTTCCTTTCCCGTCCTTCTTTTATGCCTGTTCCTTCTCTCTTTGTCACTGGTGTCCTGGATGCCGGGATTAAAGGTGAACTTCTCTCCCCCCAACGCTCTCATCCCACCAGACTCCTCCTCCGTACTGCGGGCGTGTCTGAAACCCTGCTGCTCTCTGCCAGGTCCATTGCTGCGCTCTTACACTGATGGAAAAAACCCAGAATAATGCAATCTGCACTGGGGGCAAAGTATTTCCAGTGATTCGGGTGTCGAAACATGCAGCTGTGCAGCCTGAT